ATCGTTCCTATGGCAGCTATATGATATAGTCGTCCGATTTTGATCAAATTAAAATTGAAATTCGGAAATATTTAAAAAAATCAAAGAAACTAGAATTTATTTCCTATTACTTTTCCATTAATTTTCCGATCGTTCCTATGGAAGCTATATGATATAGTAGTCCGTTTTTTAAATAATTAATTCGAAATTCAGAAATATTTAAAAAATAACATCCCCAAAAGTAAAAGGTAATATTTCAAAAAACACCGAAGCTAGAATTTTAAAAAATTTTTTTTTTCTGATCCTTCCTATGGGAGCTATAAGATATAGTTGTCCGATCCGGTCGGCTCCGACATATATACTACCTGCAATAGAAAGAAGACTTTTGCAAAAGTTTCGTCCCGATAGCTCAAAAACTGAGAGACTAGTTTGCGTAGAAACAGACAGACGGACAGACGGACAGGCGGACATGGCTAGATCGACTCGTCTTGTGATGCTGATCAAGAATATATATACTTTATGGGGTCAGAAACGTCTCCTTCACTGCGTTGCACACTTCTGACTGAAATCATAATACCCTCTGCAAGGGTATAAAAAGCTTTATATCGCTAGTTGATTTAAATAAAATAGCCAAAAAAAGTCAGAAAATATAACAATTACCTAGCTTACAGAATAAGTTATTTAGTTTTCATAATTATTTATTATCCAAATAAGTCGAAACAAATTATCATAAAATCGTTTGTTCCCTTGTTATTACATTTTATTTGTTAATCTGTGCAAGTTTTTATTTCGGCTGTTAGCAGCACTGTTTTAATGTCGTCTTGGGGGCGTCAGCAAAAGCATTCAGTGTTTCTTCTCTATAGCATCTTTGGCCGAGATTTCGCAATCTAAATAATTTGCCACAAGCAAACAAGCACTCCACTCTTATGGTACAAAATAAACACTTGGACTTAACCCCCTTAGCCGCCGCCGAACACGAAAACTTTGCCAATATACTGACAGCAGTTCCAGTTGCCAGTTTGCAGTTTGCAGTTTACAGTTTGCAGTTTTCAGCTTTCTGCTTTCCGCTTCCAGTGGCCCCGCAAACTAATACCCCTCGATCCTCGACCTGCTGACCGCACGCATGCTAAAAGTGTGGTCGCACCACCCAAAAGGTGTGGGTTCGGTGGTGCTCCGGTGACTTTGTGGCCCAGCAAAAAGTTCCGTCCGCCCGGAGTTTGTTGTTGCCGGCCGTTGTTTTTGACAGAAAATTGCAGGAAAAGCGGAAAACCTGTGTGGAGAATCTCCTGCTGTGAGCCAAGAAGCCAGGAACCACTTCTCTCGGCCGCAACGCAGTTATGCAATCACAAAGTTGCTGCCATCGTCTTTGCCACTGATTGAAATTCCTTGGCCAGCTTTGCGTTGGCTGCCTATAATAATTTTCAGCATCATCTCGGCCAGGGGATCACAACTTGAACGTGGATGGTTTTCATCTGGGCAATGATTATTATTATTATCAAACTCAGACTCCTTTCTTCCATCGCAGCTGGATGTCCGTCATCTGCAACTAATATTGTCAGTGGCTAGTATATATTTACCCATTATACTCTAAAGGAAATATTCCTAGCATGGCCCTTTAGTCAAGGAACTCAAACGGTTTCAGGTATTTTAAGATGACCACACTACCTGGATAAACTCACTAGAGCAATTTGGAAACATTTCTAAGTAATACTTTAATTTACTCGTATACCACATAGAAAACCATCACTTTGCAAGGGTATTTTATGCTTCTACTTCCTTAAAATCCGCACAACTTGCTCTAATTATTGTTGTTGCTGTCCGTACAATAACGTCTGCTGCTCCTGAGCTTTCTCCCACAGACTTGCCAATATTTTGCTTCTGCATTTATTTCAGCATTGCAATTGAGGTTTTTGATTAGTTTTTACTTCCTCATTGCAATGGGGAGCCATTGATTGCGTATTCTTATTGTTGCCGAGTTGTGAGCTGGGTCGGAATGAAATCTTCCCTTTTTAATGCCTCGAGGATGTGTTGTGTGTACTTCAACAAAGGATTAGGGCGAAAAAAGGCAATGATAATAAGTTGGGGATTGCTTTTTGGGGCAGCTTCGTTAGTAGTTAGATGGTGTTTATTAATATCATAAAGGTAACTTATTTTGAAGGGGATGAATAAAATGGTTAATCTTTGATAACATTTTATTCAAAGGAATTTAAAAGGTTTTAATTTTGTAAAAATAAATGTGTTTGTTACTCGGATTTTACATCTACAAATGCTTACATGTTTTTTAGTGTTGAATACTTTTGGGCCAAACATTCGCTAACAGCTCTGTTAACAGAGCCATGTTCGATTCTCTCCTTTAGTTTATTTGATTTTCCCAATTTAACCCATGTTCACGCTGTCCTCTGCATAGTTTTCCCAATGCAGCAAAGTTATGACTGTCTGCTCTCGTAAGTACGTGCAGACGACTTGTTTCTTTTTCTGATTGAATAGAATTTCAGCTGACTTCCTGTTTGTTTGCGGTTGTCGCCTGGTAAGTGTTGGAGTATATTTTTTTTGTGGCCTGCCAAAGGCAAGTTGAAATCCCAGTCTAGACGAAGTGGGGGTGCAAATATTTGCTAGTCCTTACCTTTACCTATTGGCGGTTTTTTAGATCGATTTGCCAACCGCAGGTATATTCGCCCATTAGCGGGCTAAGCGACACGGAAACTTACCCTTGTTAACTGAAACCACCGGTTTTACCCTGGGTTATAAAATAACCGGGAGGTTATGAAAGTATTTTAGATGGTGGGGAAAATTAACAATGTGGTACTACCACTCAAAAAAACGGGGATAGACTTGGAATCGTTTATATTGGGGGATTTGCTTGCACTTCTCCGTGCAATTCCAACGTCATTCATTCGTTCTTTTGGCATTTTCCCCCACTTTTGTGCCAGAGTTTCCCTCCCTAAATTTTCCACCTCCATCTCGCCTTATCTCTGTGTGCTTTTGACATTTTTGCGTTCATTTTTGTGTGACAAGTTTTCTGTGGTTCAGTTGGGCCACTTTACGGCATGTCAGCTTCATCTGCACCTCCCAATCCACCCAACCACCCATCTTTTTGGGGGCCAACGGGGTGACGGCCTATTTCACACTTTTATAGAAAATTTTTGCCAATTGTCTGGCGACGTTTGCCTGTTTTTTTTTCGGGCTTCGCTTCGGGTTTCCCCGCTCGTTGCGGAAGTTTGCGCAATTTCCAAAGCGGAAATGCAATTTTCGGTTCAGCTGCATTTGTCTCGCAGTGCCACGCCCTCTGCCCGCGGTCCGCCGCCAACTTGGGCGGCTTGCCAACACATCGTATATCAAATGCAGAGTTGGCAGCCCCTGACAATGACATGCAGCGAGCGTTCAGCCAAACCAGAAAAGGCCGACAGCTTTTTGGGGGTTCGGCAGGAGGTGGGTGGTGGGTGGTCCAATAGGTGGGGCCTTCGAAGGCCGCCAAAAAAGCCAACTCCTGAACACGGCCGTTGTAGCGTGTGTCACGCCTTTTGTGGCCAGAACGGAGAGAATATATTTCACACGCTTTTTGCTCGCTTTCTGCCAAAGCTCTTTGTGCCGAAAGTACTTTTATTTATTTGCATATAAATTATTCAATTGTTCCCTTGCTTATCTTTCTTGTTGGCTGGCTCCGCTTCTGACCCCCCGGCGGGGAGTCTATCGAATGCATTTGCAATTGCAATCGCAATTGATTTTTGATATCTGGGGGCGTGGCATTGAACAATTTTTGATTTACGATACTGAATTTGGCTAAAGTTGGCCTGAATTCACAATTGGCAGTGCAAAAATGGGTGGAGTTTAAAGAGAGAGAGAGCTCAAGTTGCTGTTGATTATTTCAAGTTTTTAGAATTTTGCTGAGTTAACTTATATTACTTGAGATTTATGGCTAGAATTATTTCACAAAACGAATAAATATGATGTTGAGCAAGGTTATAAAACTAATAACTTGATTTTAAATGATTTCAACCGCACAATATGAAAGCATATTAATAAAGGCCTAAGCACTATTAAACAATTAAAATAAGTAAGGTATCTCCTCGTTAATGAGTATTTATTTTGTTAATATAGTTTATTTTCCTTAAGAACTTGTTGAAAAAGTGGTTGAAAATTTAAAAATTACATTAAATTATCTAAGATCATAATCTACACCTCACAAATTTTTGACTAAGTTTCTTCTCTATCTTTTGGCTCCTCGAAGTCACCGATTGTCTGCCGAGTCTTGGCTTCCGTTTCCGTTCGACACGTGTGCTAAACTGTTTGTCGGCACGCCCCTCCACATTATTTTCCCGCCCGAAAGCCTTTCAAATGTCAAGTGTCAACTGCAGCCTCGCAGTTCGCAAAAACGTGCTTTTCCACTGGCTGCGCAAACATTTGCAAGGCTGTTATTTTTCGCCCTGCGAAAACACGCTTCAATAACATTCAAAACTCGAGACGTGCGAGGCCTTCGCTTGTCACCGAAAAATACTCGTATCTCCTAATATCTGCTGGGCGCTACATGTGTTGTGAATTTATTAGCTGTCATATAAATCTTTGCACTCGGGCACCCTTATGCGAAACGTGTGTGCCCTGTTCGAGGGCAGATAAGGGATTCGGGAGGAACCCTTCTACTTAAGTGCGGGCATTTTTCATTTGCATAAATGTTACTTAAGGAAATTTGTAATTTTTACGCGATGCCTAGCCCCCTAATTGGGTACAGTCTCGTCACCGGCTTAATGCCAGGGTTGCCACTGTCATTTGTTTAATTAATATTGTCCCTAAGCGGGGGCCGTATGTATTTGAGTTAAGTATTTACTTGCAGACAGCCACATGAGCACTTTTCTTGGGGGCTGCCAGCAATTTGCAAAGTGCTGCGTAGGTTAGGGTACAGATTATTTCAGACCTGCAAAGTTAAAGTTTAAAAACCCAATGCTCGCAAATTGAAATAGACATTAAATATGAAATAATACATTTTAAAACATTTTTTTTAGGGTTTTATAGTGTGTAATATAATTTTATTAAATGCATTGTTTTAAATATGTTACATAAATAGACAATAATTACTATAGCTTTATATTTTGGCACGCTTTTTCCTCTGCTCTTCTCTCTTTGCTATCGTTTTTACTGCGCCTCCGATTGTTCGGCCTGCTTGAGGGGATTCCCCTTGTCGTCGATTTCCATGGACGGCACCAGAGGGGGCTTAAATCCGTACTCCAGCTGCAGGTTGCGCCCGAAGTCGGGGCTGCGTTTAAGGGAGTGCCCGTTGCGCCATCGCTGGAACTCATCGAACTCGTTGGTCAGCGGGGCCTCCCCCTGGCCAGAGTTGCCAGATGTCGTGGCTGGAACCGGGCCAATGTACGACTTGACCATTTGGGCGGGGGCGGAGGCGGCGGCGGTGGCCAAGTCGGCGGGCAGGGTGTTGTAGATGTAGCGGGCTCCCTGCAGCCAGGGCGATCCATGCGGTGGCGGCGGCGGTCGAAGGTCGAACTTCATGTCCGCCAAACTGAAGGTGGCCACCTTGGGCGCCTCCCCCCTCACGGGCTTCACTGGCTGCTTGACAGCCGCCACTGGTTTGCTTAACTTGACCGCCTTGGGGGACTGAGGGGTAGGGGTTTTAGCCGTGAACTGCGGCAGCAACTTCTTCAACATCCTGGTGTAGTAATTCTGCAGCACCTTCGGCGGAATGTGGGCCACCGAATGGGACCAGGGAGTCAGGGCATTGGGATGGCCATGGTGGGGGAAGGCAAGCGAGGAGTGACCCGGCGGCATGGGCATGTGAATGGCAACGGGGACATGGATCGGAATGGCCATCGGTCGGTCCACGAACTTCTCCACAATCTTCTCCACATGCACGGGCTTCTCCACGATGCGCTCCACCTCCACGGGCACGTGCTTCTCCACGATCTTCTCCACCACCCGTTCCACGGGATAGGGAACGGGGTGTTCGACAATGGTCTCCACCGGATAGGGTCGATCCACGTAGTGCTCCACATGGACGGGCACGGGCACAGGTTGTGGAACGGCATAGGGAATGGGTATGTGCTTCTCCACCACATGATGATGGTCGTGGTCCACTGGCTTTTCCACGTGATAGGCTTGCAGAGGGGAATGATCATGGTGTTCTGAATGAGGGGAATGATCGTGGTGTTCTAAGTGTGTAGAATGATCATGATGTTCTAAATGAGGTACATGATCCACCTCGTGAAGCACCTGATGATCTTGATGGATCTGATGCACCTGTTGGTCCACCTGATGCTCCTGCTGATGAATGGGTCCCGGAGCTGAAGGCTCCGTATCCAAGTGTATGGCTGCATGTGAGATGGCCACCTCCTGGGGCGAACTATCGTACTCCACGTGTATTGGGTTTTTGGCCAGCGAAGCATAACTCTTGGGAGGATCAGCCGGGGCAGCCTGCGGCAATTGATTGTGCAGATAGGGCTGGTGGTAGATGGTCTCGTGCTGTTCCACCAAACGTCCATCCTTCTCGGTGATCAGTTTGTTGTGGATGTTGACCGACTTCTGGACCTCCACAAAGGTGTAGGGACTGGATTTCTTGGGTGCCGGAGCCGGAGCCTGCTGGATGTTGTGCTGGGAGGGCTCTGCGGCAGCCTCCGCCACGTAGTTGTGTGGAGCCGGATGGTTGACGGTGATCTGGACTCCTGGCTCAAGGGGCGGATGAGCGACGGCAGGTGCTGGCGAGGAATGCGGAGGACTAGGGGTGTTCAAGGTGACAAACACCAGGCTGTTTGGAGTGGCCGATACAGGAGTGGGTCCTGCATAGCCGGAGTATTGCTGAACCTCAGGGGATGGCGATGGTGAGGAAATGGCCTTGGTGTGCAGAGTTTCCGGCTGCTGTTGTGGATTCACCTGGTTGATCTCCTGTTGGTAGGCCAACTGGGCAGCAGGTCTCACAAATAGTCCTGAATAGTCTCCACCCTTTGGCGGCTGCGACGGAGGACCCTGCACCTCGTAGTGGAAACTGCCCTTCGGAAGGGGTCCGTCGCCACTGCCCGAGACAATGGGATTGAAGCTCTTGAGGAACTGGCGCGAAGGAGCCTCGTGACTGGGATGATGCTGCTGGAACCTCTGCTCACTGTGCGCCTGGAAGTGATCCAGGGCGTGCTGGGGTGGTGGCTCCAAGCTCTTCTCCTTAGTTGCCTGGATATATAAAAAAATCATTTAAATTGGAATATCCTCCGTTATCCCTTTATATCCCATTTACCTTTCCCTTGCCCTGCTGCGGTTTTCCCAGGCTTTCATCGTGCACTATGTGCACATTGATCTCCTGATCCTGGCCAGGACCCTTCTGGTTGGCATAGCTCTCGATGCCATTAAAAGATGGAGCTGGCACTCGCTGTTGATAGGCCTCCCTGCCCACTTGCCGTGTCTCCGCGATCTGATTGTCGTTGATCTCCTGACCCTCACCCTCCTCCAGCTCGGCCTCGTGCTCGCCCAGGATCACAATGGGCGAACTTTCGGCTGCTATCAGCGTCTCGTTGTCGTCGCTCTCCGGTTGGAGCAGTACGCTGGGCAGGACAGGAGCCGCCACTGCAGCTCGATTGATCCGCAGAAGCTCATCGCGCGAAATGTGGTTGCTGCCGTCGCGGAAGCCAGGATCTCGGATCTGCTCTACCACGATCTCCGTGTGTCCTGGCCCCAATTCCCGGCGGTACTCCTTCGTAACGGTCGTTTGGTAGCTGTAGTAGGTGGCATTCGGTGGGGGTGGAGGGGGTGGTGCTTCAGTGGTTACCGTCTCGGTGGTGCTGGTCACATCCACCACTGTGGGCCGAACCACCGCCTTGTTCGTGGTAGTGGCTGAGGATGTGGTGGTGGTGGTGGAGGCCTCTGTGTTGCCACTGAAGCGGAAAATATCTGAGAATCCCTTGGGAAATAGATTGGAGAACACCTCGTTGACAGTTTCCGTTCGCGAACGCGTCACCGTCTGCTCAATTGGTCTTTGGCGACGAGCCACTTCCACTGGCAGCTCATCGTTGATCTCAAACTGGATGTAGCCGTGTCCGTTGGTGGGGCTCTCCGAATCCCTGGGAGGCAGCACAGTGGGCAGAAAGCCTGGAACACTGCACATTACATGATTAAATTAAGTAAAATATGTAATACATTTAAAACATATATAATTGCATGGTTTAATTTGAATAGTTTGAATAAAAGGAAAAAAAACTTTAAATTTACTTTAAATACTTTTCATCATAAAAATAACTTTAACATTTCCATATTTACTATATTTAGTAATTTTAAAATTTTTCTTTAAAAATATTTTAATAATATTTACATTAACTATTCAATCTTTGGTATTTCTACGTTTTGTATCAGTGTGGTAGGTTTTCAAAACGGATTTTTAAATTAAAAATTACTCTCTAGTTTTTGAATTTACAAATATGAAGACCAATAAAAAGATGTTAAATTAGCTAAGAATAAGGAAACAATTAAGAAACCTTAATTTTCAGTGGCAGCACAACATCTTTACTCTCCTGCTCTTTGGAGCCTTGACTTACCCCACGAACTCTGTTTCTTTTTCCGCGCCCTTGGCTTCCAGTTGCAGTTCCCCTTCCAGCTCCGCGTCCTCCTGCAGTTCGCCGTCCAAGCCGGGGCCTTCGATGACCTCGCGGATGAGTTGCCCGGCTGCCTGCTTATTAAGCTGTCAAAAGCGACGCTCATTGCCTGTCAAAATCTTTCACTAAACTCGGAAACTCGGACTCACCTCCTTGGCTGTCACACTGCCGTCACTCAGGGCTTCAGTTGCCGTGGCCTCGTCCGTCGAATTCTGTGGGCCGGAGGATGTGGAGGTGGCTGTGGGTGGCTCATCCGAGAGGGCTGGCTGGACGAGGATGGCCAACAGACAGCAGAGCGTGGCTGCCGCCGTTAGCAGATGTCGTTGGTGGCGGTGGGGCCACATGGAGCTATTACGGAAATGGCCAAAAGCAGAAAGAGTTAGCTTCAGCTGGGCTTTCGGTGTGCGAATGGTGGTGTGAATAACCCCGGCGAGCCACGACAAATTCCAAGCGACAAATGGAGGAGTCGTCAAGCCAGTTTGGGCCCACTCCAAAGGCCATCCACTAGCCTCCACTGCGCTCCACACTCGAATCCGAGCCACTCGACTCTACGACTCCACTCCTGACGACTATAGCCACTCACTTGTCGGGCTGTTTGATTTTAACCGATACGTCGCTGGATGATGATTTTTCCTAAGTGGCTGCCTTGGCACTTTGGCGCTTTTCTTTCTCTTTCGCCGAGAGATTTTCCCTAAAACGTTTGTCGCTTTTCCAGCCAAGTTGTTGAACTTGAGCTGCGTTTGCTTGGGGCTTATGTCATTGCTACTGGCAACGTAATGAATTATTAATTAACCCCCCTTCCCCCACCCCTTTCGCTCTTCAACCAAGGAGCCCCCTGCACCACGCATTTAATTTGGAAAATTGAAATTGATGGCGTTTAAAATGGTTCGTACGGGTTTTCACATAGTTTGGCCGCTGCCTGTATTTTGATGGGCATTAAATATGCATGCCAAAACATATTTCACCTGCAATATTCATGGCTAAGTGGCCCGGGGCGCTTTTAAGCCGGTCCCCACTGTTCGGCTGTCTTGTTGGCCAAATAGCACAAGAAAGCGAGGCTTTCGGTAGGGAAATTGTGGCTTTAATTGACTCTGGATAATGATCTGAACTGGGCTATTAAAACGGAGACAAATATCGTATTCATGGCTGCCTTAGTCCTTGCTGACTACCATTATACATTCAGGTTTGCCAGGACTTTATTGAACACCGAATCACGAACCAATTGCAGCCGCTTCTAACTCAATTTGCACATTCGAAATGGCCCAATTACGCCCACAGAGAAAATATTAATTTGCACAGTTAAATGGGCATTTAAAATATTCCGTTCGCTTTTGGCATTTACCTGCATCCATTAAGTATTGCGCGACGGGATTTTTATTCGTATCGTTCCGTAGGTTTGGGATGCAGCCAAATGAAATGAAAACACTCAATTATTTATATTGATTGCCGTCCAATTAAAGCGCACTTATAATCACTTTTCTATTCGATTAAAACAATTGTAATATGCTGAGCTGCAAATGGCACAAAGGTGGAATATCGGGTAGATATATTTTTGTATTTATATTTATTTTCTCAGGCGCTCTTCCCGGGCGAACCTGCCAGTTGCGCGTGCGCGTTGCGAATGAAAGTGAAACCGTCGGGCACTGAGCATTTCGTTTTCTTTTCATCGTCGTGGGTCGCAAGTTGCTTTCGTCGCCGATGTTGCTGTTGCTGCTGCTGATGTTGCTGATGTTGCTGCTGTTGCTGCTGATGTTGCTGCTGCTGCTGCAGCAATCCTTAAAGTGTAGCATAAAACTTGTCCAGCCGGCGATTGCGCAAGCTCCGCCGTCTCTTTCGCTCCTTCATGGCAATGACAATTTTGTTTTTATGGCTTTCTACGGCGGCAGCATTGACCCTGCCGAAAAAAAGGCTGGCGCGGGAAAACTTTGGAACTGGTTTCGCGTGGAAAGGCCAAAGGCATGTGGCTAAATCCGCTGAGAAAGCCCTTGTCATGCCTAAACGCCCTTTGCCACCTGTTTCACGATCGCCGCGGCTCGTTGACACAAATCTCTTGCCGCATTTCCTTGCCCCATAACACCTGATGCCATTATCGCATTCGTTTTACACCTGTCGGTTCGATCACCTGCGAACGCATTGTTTTCATACGCTTTTCCACCGCTTTTCCACTGCTTTTCCTCCGCCTGCCCGCAGTGTTTTCATTAATTTTTAATGAGGCGGTATTCGCGACGCCTTTTGTTGTTGCAGAGCGTTTGACGTTTTCGGCTGATTGATTAATGTGGATGCGGTTTTGCGGGCGGCGGTGGAGCGGTGCACTTGTTTTTTTTACTTCTGTCTGATTTATTAAAATGCGACTTTTTTATTTATGCTTTGGTAATTCATTTCATTTATTGCATATTTAATGATATCGTGTTTCTTTTTTCCCGTGAACGCTTTGAAGATATTTATTTTTATGGCGAAATTGTTAGAGATGCATTTAAATGGAAATACATTTTAACAATATTTCAATTTGTGAATTGCAACTATTGCAGCTAATTTAAATGGCTGAAATACAACTATTTATGATTGTTATTTGGTATTTAAAATACTTTGACTAAAATTCCTGTGCAACATAATTTGTAAATTAATGGAATTTTATTTGCTACACGCAAAATATAATTAAGATTGATTGATATTGATGATTGCCTTTTAAATGGTTAAAAAGCTAAAAAAATTCTCAAGAAATAAATAGTGCTTCTTGGACATATTGCTTCATATACTAAGTGGCCAAATGAGTTCAACCACAAAGTATCTGTCACATTAAAAAGTGGGGAAAGTGGGCGTTCTGCCACAGCTAATACTCCTATTACACACAGATATAGATCCAGCGATCATTTTGGGTGTGATTTATGCCTTCCATAATCGGTTAGCTTCTTTATCTGCTTGCATCTCATTAAAGACATGTTGCATGCCTCATGCACACACATCTGACTTTCACCATTGGCGATGGAATGGCGAGATGGAAACTGGAACTGGGACCGAGATCGCTTTTTCGGTTGGCATTTCCTCCGGCGTTTTCCGCACCAATCGCACCGAACCTCAGAGACAATTATGATGAAAAGCCAGGCAGGGAGATTGCATAAGCGAGGCGGGTCTGGCCGAGGAAATCCAAAAATCCCCAAACGAACTCCGAGGAAATGCGAGCCATAAATTGCCGTGACCAGCAACTAACTTGGCTAATTTTCGCCGGATCAGCATTTGGTAAAAGTGTAACAGAAGTCACCTGCGGTCGCTCGGTTGGCTTCCTTCCGCTGCTTGCATTGCAAAATCATCAAAAACTCGGCAAAGGAAATCGCTGGGATGCCTTGACCGCAAATGAAATGGGACAGAAAAAAGTGAAACAAAATAAATCACAGAAATTGCGGAAAAATCTATTAAAAGCAATTCGCTTAATTTCGTTACCGGACCGGCATCGCTCATATATATTTACTTATTGTACTTCCCCAAAAAGCGCAGTCAGCCGGAAAAGGCGGAAAGGGGCTGGGGCGGGGGGCGTGGCAGTCGGCTAATTAAGTGCGCAGGGCAAATGAAATATAAGAGAGGAAAAAAAGGTAATTACAATCAATGGGACCAATCGGTGCGGCGGGGCCTCAGACCAAAAGCCAATTTCATGCAACAATCAATCAAAAACAATTTTTAATTTTGCGTTAACAATTTTCAGCCCGATCTGTTTTTTTCTTCCATATTTTTCCACGCTTTTGCCTGTGTCCATTTTAACTGTGTGAAGTAAATTGGAAAATAAAGTTAAAATTAAAATGCATTAATTGAACTGTGAAATTTCGTGCAAGCGTATTGGCGGTGGGGGGAATTATTGGCGCCCAACGATGTGCAATGAAAACGATTTTAATTGTCAGCGTTTTAAGCGCGCTTAAAGTCGTCAGCGGTAAGTTGGCATGAATGGCAAAGGGAATATGACTGGCGATTAATCGACGTCTGGAGCGTACAATATATTTTACAACTTTCTTTGTGAACTTAAAAAAGTTAAATTATCTCAAGGCAGGAATAATAGACTGCAGGTGCTATCTGCTCTCCATTTGGCCACTTTTGCTTCCCCCAAAGCCCAATTAGGAGATTTCTCCAACCAGTTGCGATTGCAAAACACAATCGCAGGCAAAACCCACTTATCAGGCCGTACGAACATCTATCCATACATAAACTTATCAGTCGACTCGCCCATTTTGCGACTGCATTAAGCCCGCAATTTTATGGTCATGGCCAGGCTCTGGATTTTCGGTTCCTCAACGTAGGCAAATTGAAATATGTGTGTGTGGCTTTGGCTCCAAAAGGGGTGGAGGATCCAATTGCCAGTTTTCGCAGCCGGTTTTGGGTGTTCATATTTGACTTTGGCCAAGGCAACAATTAAAGCAAAATGCGCACAGTAATGCCAATTGGCGATTGCGGATATCTCTGCAGGCCGGTCCACTAAAGGGGAAGAGGGGTTGTAAGGTGGTCCGGGGTCCGGGGTTTATCCATTAGTCGAAGCACCTTTCGCTGTGGCGCGTGCGTCGACATTAGCGACAGAGTCACCATCGCCATAACATTGCCCCTGCGACATTACAAGTTTATTCCACTCGATCACTGTTCGGGAATTTTGATTGATAAATTACACAGCGAGAATGAAGGCAGTGAAACCGCTATTTATCGGCTTCGCGATTGGCTGCAATCGAAGAGGTGAGTACCAGTTTGTTACAGCGTAATTAAATCTGAGATTCATATTTATTTTTTCTTCACTGAAGAAATGTGCTAAAAAAAAACTACATTATAATATTCAACAAAAATATTTATAAAATATATATAGATTAATTAGTGAGCTTTAAAATATATACCTCGTGGACTTTTATTTGGGGGAATTTATTTGGCGTATTCCACATTCCACATAATTTTCTTTCGGTGGCCGCGTGTTAATGCAACCATTATCCTCACTGTACGGTACGCCCCCGCTCGCTGAAATCTCGATGGCGCCTCCGAAATCGAAGGCATTTCACTGTCATTAGCGCCAAAAACCGGCCTGGTTATCGATGGTTTGTGCGGGCACATAAGGCCGCGGTTGTAGCTGTCGGCAAACAGGTTGCCCGACTCTTTAGGCCAAAAAGTGTAGCAGCCAGGTCCGCAGTGTGGCCATTTCAATCCTGCGGTGTCGATGTACTTTTGATTTCCAACTAATAAACAAGAGCCGCGCTGCTGCTGCTGTTTTGGCTGCTCTGGCTGCCTTTACTGCTAGTGTTGACAACGCAACTCTGGTACTTGGATTGGGATTGGGCCAATGCACCAAACCAAACCGAACCAAACAGTGAACCGTAAACCGGAATCTCCTTCACACAAACTGAGCCGAGCCTGCGGTCACCCAAAAGCTGCATTCGGCTGGCCTTTCCCTTTCGTTGGCCCCTGATTGATATTGATGCAACTGCCACTGAAATGCTGAGTGCCAAAAATGATTGGCATTCCATTCAGGTTGGTTGGTGTTCAGCTCGCCAACGACGGGGGAAACAAATGTTTGGTCAAAGTGCGCGGAATGGAAAGTATTCTTGGGGTTCCATCAGCTTATTGTTTTTACATGGGGGGCTTTTGAAAGAAAATTTAAGATTTAATAAATGAATATGATTTGACCCTATAATCTACCTTATTTCATATCAATAAAACGCCGATATCATGTAAATATCATTTAAAATACCAAATGAAGTATTTTTTGATCAAATAATGTAAAAAAATATAAACATAATCATCTTGATATTTTAAAAATGTGAAATTTACCAGCACATATTAATTTGATCTTTTGTCAATTTTTTTTCTGTGTAAAGACCGAATTTATAACTGTGATAAATAACTCTACAAAAGAAAATATATAATCTTTAACTAACGCAGCGGGCAATTAATTGGTTAAACCTATTTCGCGAAATAAAAACCAAAAGTCTTCCTACTTTTTGAACTGCTTAAAATTAACCAAGCTATACTTACTATTTGTATGGCTATTTAAAAAATATAAAAGTAATGCTGTTACTTAACTTTTTACGTACCTACATATTATTCACTTAAGAGTATCTGCAATGTCGACTGCTGGTGGTTTTTTCCCAAGTGATTTCCTCATTGCAACTTAATGACGGGCATAATCCCGGCTGCTGATTGATTGTGGCTCATTCCACGTGAAACGTGACAGGCCAATTTGGGTCAAATCTCAGAATCAATCGAAACTTTTTTTTCGATAGAGGATTGAAATATAAGGATCGGTTTTTATTTTTTTTTTTTTAACACTTACCGTTTATTTTTAAAAAATAATTTTCTAATTAAGCTCCGATTTTTCAGTTATGCATCACTTGAGACTCGTTTGAGTTATTTCAATATTTGGTATGCAACTTTGTGGGATATGTTCATGTCTTTCAGAAAAAAATTTTAAAAATTTTTAATTTTAAAATTAAGTATTTTTTAACAGAATTTAAATTTTAAAAAATTCTGTACGCCGGAATACACGCGGTTTCCGAATAAAAAATTATCCTCATATTGCTTCATCAATTCTTCACGAAGTGGTAAAATAAAATTTTGTATTTGCAAGACCTACTAGTAAAGACAACGATTTTAGTTTAGCAACTTTGCATCAAGCAACAACAGCGCAACGTGTAAGAAGAGAACAGCAATACGAACACGGGAGAGCAGCAATAGGGCTTTCCCTTTCTTACACGTTGCGCTGTTGTTGCTCGATGCAAAGTTGCCAAACTAAAATCGTTGTCTTTACTAGTAGGTCTTGCAAATACAAAAATTTTATTTTACCACTTCGTGAAGAATTGATGAAGCAATATGAGGATAATTTTTTTATTCGGAAACCGCGTGTATTCCGGCGTACAGAATTTTTTAAAATTTAAATTCTGTTAAAAAATACTTAATTTTAAAATTAAACATTTTTAAAATTTTTTATCTGAAAGACATGAACATATCCCACAAAGTTGCATACCAAATATTGAAATAACTCAAACGAGTCTCAAGTGATGCATAACTGAAAAATCGGAGCTTAATTAGAAAATTATTTTTTAAAAATAAACGGTAAGTGTTAAAAAAAAAAAATAAAAACCGATCCTTATATTTCAATCCTCTATCGAAAAAAAAAGTTTCGATTGATTCTGAGATTTGACCCAAATTGGCCTGTCACGTTTCACGTGGAATGAGCCTTGTGCATGTGTGCTGGTCCCTCCCTGGATGAGTTTCCCCACTTTACCAAAGCTTGGAATCTATACAGATACCCCGACGACGACCACCCAGTTAAAGTAATTTTCTTTGTTGCATTTCTCTGCTTTTAAATTTTATTTCATGTTCATTTTCATTTCTGTGTGTTGTGTGTTTGGTGTCTGCTTTGTTTGCCTTCTGTTTGCCGCTCCCCTCGTCTTTCATTTTTATCTGCATTTTATTTGCATTCTTCTCGGCTTGTGTTTTACTTTATGCTAAATTGGCTATTTTGTTTTGTTGCTTTGTCACTTAAACTTGTAAATTTCCTCGGCAGGCTGCCCTTTTGCCCCTCACCTGGCCACTTGTCCTGCGTTGCTGTGATGCTTTGTTGCCGGCTTAAATGTAACAGTTTGCTGGGTTGACCCTTGCCAAGAATTCGGAGTTATTGCATTGCTGGGCAGTGAACAGGATCGCTTAAGAGTTAGCTTTTGATTCTGTTGTGTGGGGTCGGCTTTAGGCTGCTCTGCTATCTGCCATCCGCTACTATCTTCAAGTTCCTGGCCATCTCATCTCCGAGGCTTCGTTTACGGCTAAAAGTGTTTTTCTTGTGGTTGTTGTTGTTGGTGGTGGTTGCTTACATTTCTCTTGGGCCTATGACTTATATATGTAAACCGTTTCTGCTTATTGTAACACGTATTGTTGTATCTCGTATTTGTATTCGTAGTCGTATTCGTAATTTAATGGGTTATTAGTGTCCCCCGCTGTCGTCTCGCTTATCCAAACATTTTGCACTACAGATGAACGTTCTGTCTCTCGTATCGTAATTACTCATTGGTTTAAAATTAATTTGCCACATTCGGTTTGTGTTGCACTTAGGAGCTAGTACTTTCTTTAGTTATATATGTCTGTTTGTTGTTTGTTGGCTTTGTTTCATAAATAATATTTTGTAAATATTACCAACACATTGAATCATAAATACAGTCCGCACTGTGACCATTCACTTGTTTAGTAATTTATTTGTTAGTTAACATGACGACGTGTTTGTTTGCTTGCTTTGTTCTTACAATTCGCAATTTTTTGCTGACAATAAACCCAAGGAGCGAAATCACTAAATCACTAAACTGAACTATACATAGGGTACACACATATATGCATATTCGTGTTAATGATTAATTTAATCTCAATTTAAACTTATCATTTTACAATGCTCTTCGCCAGAATTCTTGGAACTCTGCAAATTCAATTTTGCTGCGGCTTAAATTGGCGTTAGGTTCTTTTAAGTATTTCTGGTTTTTACACTGATTTCTTAGCCTAGCGATATATATTTGTATGTATTGCGCATAGGATATAGAATAATCTGAAGCTTAGATCGTCTAAGAAATAAATTACAAAAGCTTGGGCTTTGTACAAAAAATTCTGTGGCAAGCAAACGATCTTGCTGGCTCTTTGTTGATCTTCAAACTGAAATATGTTACAATAGCTGGAAATCGAACGCTGAAGTGGTTGTGTGGTCTTTTATATTACATACAATATTGTTTAATTTACTCGTGGAACTGCTACATATGATACTATAATGGCTTTACTTTTGCTTTGAAACAACATTTAACACTTTTTATATCGTATTTGTATATTTTTGGTTTCCTCTTTTTTGGGTTGAGCAATTCTCTACTTGAACATTTATTTATATACAATAATCGCCTATGTGGAGGGTCTCTCATTTGTTTTCGGGGCTATAATTAGGTATGTTTACTTTTGAGTTATAAAAATATTCGTAGTAAATGGAAACGATTTGTTTTTGGTCCTTTCAAACGATTGGAAAATCATAAGAAACGATAAGGTGCGATTAAATGCTTAATAGAACCCAATTACTTTAGGTTAAAACTCTTTTGATCATTCGCTTAATTTCATTTCCCAAAATATCTTACAGTTTCTTTTGCTCGGGGGCAAACTTTTCAAATGGAAGGAATTTGTTCGTGCCTGGTAAGTATTACTTCGTCGTTCTCGTCTTCATGTACAATTTTAAACTATAGGTTCTTCTCCTCGTGCTTTTAGTTCTAAACATTTTCAAAATATTTAACAAAATCAGTCACTTTCTCGATCTCTCTTTTTTTATCGAAAAGGAACTTAAAGTATTCGTAATAATCAACTTTTAACAATGTTTTTTCCAAAGAATTGTAAACTTTTCCTTACGATATCTGGCTTTGGCATTTAAGTTAAGCGCACACTCATACACATTGACATACAGCGATAGGGTTACAGTTACAGTTATAGTTACCGTTACATCTAGGGGTTACAGTAAAAATATTCGAAGAGCTTAGGGTTAAAGAGTCGATACCTTTTGGGGTTCTAGAAGAGTGTTTTTTTTTTGTTAGGATACTGATGGGCCTGGGATCTTAGCCTAGGGCAATTTTGATGCTTGGCTAAATCGGTTACAGATGCACATACGTATTGCTATATAGAGTAGTAGTTGTGTAGCATAGTCCACGTGGTAATGTCGAGTAATTGGGTAAATCCATACATATGCCTAGCCATAGGGGGTTAGATTACATAGAACATTCGGTGTAGTAAACGCGTCTCAGTCACTCCCAAAGAAATCATTCATTCAACTCCCTTTCGCACACACGATGCTGCCTTAATCTAATGACTGTTACTAAATATCGGGGCTAAAACCAGGGCCAAAATCAACCAGACGGGGCCCCAGCCACGCCCATTGGCGGGACTGCTATTAAAGACGGGGAAGTGGATCTGCTCTGGTCGATTCAGCTCCTCCTCCTCGTCGTCGTCGTCGATGGAGTTCGACAGCTGCCGATGGCGCTTGGTAAAGTTCACATTGAAAACGGCCTCGGCAACGCCACCTGGCGTGGAGACTACGAAGTAGAAGGTCCTCGGAACCCTCTCGTGCATGCTGACGTAGGTCAGTCGCGCCTCCTTGCAGTATGGCGTGGGCAGATCCTGCGGATGGGGGAAAGTCGATTACATTTCCGTTGCGAATTACCCCGGCGCCCCACCTCACTCACCTTCACCGCGTAGGCCAGCACCGTGCTGCCATACTGATTTCCGGGCGTGAAAACCCGATCTCCGTGCAACCAACGGGCGGCATGAGCCGGCGGATTGGCGCAGAACTCCACGTTGAGGTGCAGCGGCGATCCCGGGTAGGCGATGGGCGTGGCATTCAAGGCCGTTACTGTGGGGGCGCCTGAAAAGGGGAAAAAAATAAAATAGGGGGTTAACTAGGCTTTTTCATAAAAATAATAGCAATTTGAATATATTTTTTTATTTTTCCAGATTTTTTTTAATCCACTCCTAAACCGTATAATAACCTACTAATATTATCTTTGCGAGATATTTTTCTTAAACGGCATGAAAAACTACTAGGATTAGTAGGGCTGAATCGCTCTTGAAAACTTTAGTGATTTCGCTCCCCCAGTTTGGCGCTGCCTTGGCTCGTTAGCCAGGTCCCCTGCAACTTTTCGCACCGAGATTCCCTAAGCAAACTTCTGTAAGCCCTCTACGTCGCACTTCACACATGCTAAGCCAATTCCGGCGCAACTGTACCCCGATGCCAAGTTTGTTTCGCCTCGCATCAGCTGCAATTAAAGCCAGGGCGGAAAGTTTACGGCCACCGTTACCGCCACCGCCATTGCCATCAGCATTGCCATCGCCACTAATTAAAAGCGTATCACCCGACAAATGTGCCACTTACTGCCACAGAAGCCCAGCAACAGCCCTACAAGGACGATCTGCACCTATGGCAAAGTAAACGCTCGGCTTGGAGTGGGAAAAATCAAAATAAATAGAGAACAACATGTCGTGGGGGGCCAAAAGGAAAAGTTGGCCCAAGAACGCCGAAACTTCATTAAAAAGTTTGCGCCAAAGCGAATTTTGTGGAACTTATGTGGGCCGCGTGCCCAGAGTAGGGGATTATCTCTGTGAGATGCTAAAGCCTGAAGACGTTGGCCAACACTGCGACAATCCAATTAGACACATGTGCCAACCCTTTCCCCGGCGTCCACCTCTTCTGTTGTACCCCAGCATATTTAATTATCGAGAGGCTCGAAATTTTGCAATTTTCCCCATCATCGCCCTGAGACAGAAGAGACTTATAGAATGGGGCTGGCGGAGGAGGAGCAGGGTTGCCAAATAAACTTCTGCCGCAATGGCGAGCCGGGCAAACAAAATGGTCGAAAGTGTTAAGTGCAAATGAGTGTTGGGCGGACGGGCAAACGGGCAGGCGGCAGACACAAACAAAAACAAATCGAAGAACCCCGTTCGACACTCGCAAATTTATAACCAGAAAAACCCCCCATTTTTCCCTGGGACCTGGGCGACTAACTGTAAAATCAATTAAAGCAAGTGCGCCAGGGTTGTGTCTGCCTGCCAAATTATGCGTTCAACGCCATTTTGTCGAGCACCGGCTCAGCCTGCCCACCTCTTGTCCCCGAGGAAAAAGTGTAATTTATTTGACAGCCAAAAATGATTTTTGCATGAGCCTGTTACCCATTTAGCATTCCATTCAGCGGGCTCTCAAAGAGATTTAAATTCTATTTTGATTTGCAGCCAGCGAACCGTGTGCAAGCATTTTACCCCAGCGCCCAGGTGGATGGCTGTAGACGTGCCCCCAAGGTCAGTGCTTTGGTCATTGGTGCGACTTTTAATTTGATTTCCACTCGGTCCACCCGGGGGCGCCAAATAGAAATGAGTTTTAAATTGCCCGCAGTTTGGGATAGGCAATGGAGTGGGATTCGCTACAAATAATCTTTGCGTGAAATACCAATAATAACAGGGAAAAACAAGGCAGCCTTAAAAGTCTCAGTTTATTGAGGGGAACCAAGCCAAAACAATAACAAGGCGGAAACAAGGGGGAAGTAATTGCAGCTCGCGAATGAATGAAAAAATCAATTATTTTTTCAGTTGTTGTTACTTATTTTCCTGTTTTCGAGGGCACTTCCCAACACTGTCCCGTTCCCAGCGATGCAAACGCAATTTACGCAGTGACGGGGCAAAAGGACAACAGCTTTCGGCGACGAGCAATCAATGGGGTGAAGCCCTGAGCTCCAAAAAGCATCTACCACTCCTCAACCAAAGTGTTGTAAAACGTTTTCCCCTCCTGTTGTTGCCTCACCTCCTTGCAAAGTTTTCGCACAAAAGGCAACTACGAAAAATTAAGTTAACTTTTTCGGGCAGCGGGAATTGAGTAATTTTCAGCCGTAAAACTTTATTATTTTGGACTGCAGGACTTCGCTGCGTCTGCCCCCCTCTCCGTTTTCCTTTGCCCATTGTTGTTGCAACAATTGTAGAACATGCAAAGTTGCTGTTATTGTTTAAATATTTATTTTCAGCTGTTGCAGCTGTAAATGCTGGCAGGAAAAGATGTCTAGTGCCCGAAAGTGGGCAAAAACATGCAAATTTCATTGGGCCAACGAGGAAGGAGGAACCGCCAAAGCAACTCTTCGGGCAATGGACCAAAGCAACGTGTAATTACATTAAGCCAGCCGAATTTAGCAACACTTTTGAATGGTCTCAAACGCGAAAAGAGAACCAAGTGCTGGAATGCTGGAACTTGTTTCGAAAAGTGGCCTCCAAATTAGGGAATAAAATAATATTATTAACTATAACAGTCCACTCCCGTCTATTTTAAGCCATTATGTTTGCTTAGTTTCTAATCTAAATTAAAATGGTTGAGTCTAGAAGTCGTCGTAGGTAGTGGTCCTGATTTAAATCCCTGGGTATTATTTAAATGGGCAGTTGTATGTGCCAAGATGCCAAAGAAATGGCATAACGGCTCAGATTAGAGCCAGCAATTACAGGTGAGCGGCGCCAGAAGACCTAAACAGCTTGCCAAACATGCCCGGGGGGCATGGAATATCTCTCCCTCTCTCCCTCTCCATTCCGGCCCACAGTATGCAGAGCTCCATGGATAAACGCTAAGATAACAGCAATCCGACAGGCAGCAAGTGAAAATAACAATCATAATATTAAATTATGCAATGGCTGCCCGAGGAGCATTACGAACTGGACGTGGATCCGTGAGTCCGGATATGGAGGGCAGGGGCAGAAGAACAGGACTTGCTCCATGTTCTGGCCCTGAATAATTAATAAACATTGTGTGCACTTAATGCAAAAAGCTGCAAATAAAATTACCAACTGCCCGGCTCGTTGTGTACCGAAATCATTGCCGGGCGTTGAAAAAAACAAAGGAACACAAAAACAAACCGGGTCCGAGGCTCAAATTGAAATTACGTGCCCGGGCTGAGCAATCAAAGAGGGATTAGCGGGTTGTTTCTGCTTTTAGTTTGCCATTTGTCACTTGCCAATTGCACGGTAGCCACCACCTTTGGGCGCTTTTAATTGAATTTATTGTCGACGAGGCGGTTGTTGAATTATTGATGGCCGCGATGACAAGTTAACCCAGTGAAGGATGCGACTTTCAAGCAGGTCCAAGGCTTTTCGGCATTTATCTTAAGTTCGGCAACTTTTTGGGGCCCAGCATAAGCTGCTCAAAAATTAATGAGCCAGCTGGGCGGCCCCGTGTCGCTTGTATTTAGCCAAGAGGTTGAAAAACTTCACCGGGTAATCTTGTGTTTGTGCGGTTTGCTCGGCTTTTGAAAGTCGGAGCACGCGTTTTCCGGGCGATTTTAAGAACCGCTGCCCGGCGGCATTAGGAATTTTAAATGAAATGTACTCGGCTATACAGACAAAGAAACCTTTCCATGGGTTAAATTCCATTTGATTTAAAAGTGCTTTTAATTACGTTTTAAACAATTTAAGTTTGGGTTTAAAAAAATTTAAAATAAAATTTGTAAAAATATAATTATTAAATTGTTGTTTTTAATTTTGATTTTTGCTTTACTTGAATTAATGATATTTTTCTAACTTTCGACCGCTTATTTCTCTGTGTAGCCATAAGCATCTCCACCGTTCTAAGAACACCTATAGGATACTTTACTTTTCCTAATTGAAATCCCTTCAAGTATGTCGACTTCAAAGTCAATTGCTCGGGGACAACTGCACTGCTCTACAAAATCCGAGCGAGGAGAACTGGGCCATTAGGAGTGACCAAACAAACTTTGATGCTGCGATGACCTCTAAGTGGCGAGAGGACCGGACCGAGATCTAGACAGAGATTGATATACGGTGGAGGTAAAGTGCAGCTCTAGTTATATCAGGGTTATCTTTTCACTCTGCCTCTTTTCAGATCCTCTGTGTGTGCTCGTCCGCACACTCGGGTAAATATCTGTAACCCAAATCTTGGAAATTTACAAAGCGCGCTTCTATGGCTGGCAACGTTGTCAACACAAATTAAGCTAGCATGTAAAGTTGAATGGGATGGTGTGGGATGGGAAAGTATGGTATAGGATGCTTTAGGATGGAACCCCATCCCGCCGTAGTTTACGTATTTAAATATGCTCTTTCACTTTCAATATCAAATGAGTGGCTGGTTGGCAACTTTTGCCTGGCAGCAAGATTGCAACTTGCAGATACACGGATACGTAGATACTTTGGCCGGGACCGGCAAAGTTTGCCAAATACGTATGAACGTGTGAGCGCATGGAGCCGAACTTTGAATGAACAGCTTCGTATGAAACAGCAACCCAATTTGAGACAGTCCCCCCGTTTTCCGCCCCCCTCCCCGGGAGCTATTGCAAATTGCACAAGTTGCCAAAAATCGCTTCACATGTGCCACTTAAAGTTTTCGGTTTTTGGCCCTGCTCTGTCCTGCAGTTTGCCAACTTGCAAGTTGCCAGGACCTTTTTCCCCCCAGCATCCGACCGCACTATTTTCCAGGCTACCTGCCACTTGTAAATTTAATAAATTTTTGCATTTTTTGTTTGCTTACGCCGGGCCGTGAAAGTGAGATGTCAGAAAAGTTTTAAGTGATGTTGGTAAACACACAGAATTATGGTTAAACAAGATGAAAGTGAAGTCAAGGGGAATGACAAAGTTTGATGGAATCGAACGTTCATTTAGAGTTGGTTTGCACAGAGTGTAACTAACTAACTAACAAAAAAAATAAAATTTGAGAAAAAAAAAAAAAAAAAAATAAAAAAAAAAAAAAAAAAAAAAAAAAAAAAAAAAAAAAAAAAAAAAAAAAAAAAAAAAAAAAAAAAAAAAAAAAAAAAAAAATAATGTTTGCTAAACAATGACACAAATATAATGACATTTTTAAGTACACTAGATGAGATCCAATATATTCCT